TTGAACACACCTATGACTTTTTGTTGTTCATTATGAATGTCATTAATTTTTTAGTATTTATATGTACATAGTGTGCATAAACCGTGAAAATATACAAAATAACCATGATATCATCTCTGCAGTTTTCTCAATTTATGTTATTTCTTTTAGTACTCTTCCCCACTTCCAAGTATCCCATTTTCTTGATTGTGTTAGCTTGCGTAGGGGTCTATTGGTGGATTAGTTTTCAAATGCCCTTTCTTCAAAATATTATGATTAGAACTTGTTGCTGAATGATGTTTGCAGGATCATCCAGATGCCATCTCATATAAAAACAAGTGTTTGTATCTTTTCCATGATTTATGCAAGATTTTCGGAAACAAAGTAATGGAAATATCAAATGTCAAAGTGAGTAATCTGCAGCAGCTTCACTTGATGGAAGAAAATAATTTTACCATTGACATGGGTTTGGATGAAACATCTGAAGATTTGGTTGATATCATCAATGTTGACATATCAGAGCAAGATCTGGGAAGGGGAAGGGAAAATGATGGTGAGGAATCATTTGGGAATTTGGTGGTGAGTGGCAGCAATGAAGTTGACATTGTTGCCGTTGAAACAAATGGAAATTTAGATGTGGCTAGTAACAATGAAACATCGAACCAAGACAGAGAAAAACCAATGACACACCATGTCAGGAAAAGGCCTGGTACGATGATGTCTAGAGACTCGACACTTCACAAAAAGAAGCTGCGAATGAAAGAAGCTTTGTCTGAGATGGCTAGTGCTGTGAAGGCACTGATGAATAAGAGAGAGAACAGCAATTCATCATTTGAAGATGCTTTGAGTGTTCTTCAGGCTATGCCTGACATAGATGAGGAGTTAGTAATGGATGCTTCTGATCTGTTGGAAGATGAGACGAAGGCAAAGATATTTTTAGCTTTGGACATCTCTTTGAGAAAGAAGTGGTTGCTTAGAAAGCTTCGACAGTAAAAACCACATCACTCAACTGTACATTCTTCTTTTCCATCTCCAGATTCTGCTATCCATCTGCTGCAAAAGAATCAGAATCGATTTCTTCCTCTTTGATTATTTCACACGATTTACTATTTACTAGGATTGGAAAGCCATAAAAACTCGAAAATGAAAACGGACATAACAAAACGGAACACTATATGCTAATAATAAACTTTATATTATACAACGGAGTTTTTGAAAAAAAAAATGCACAATCAATAATGAACTTTAACATAATATTATATGTTTAATATAAACATTAAAGTTACTTTTGTAACCATACATTTAAATTAAAGAAATATAAAAATTATGAAAAAAATTAAAAACTAAAAGAAATTCATATTAATAATCACGTGTTTCACTAGTCTTTTAGTTCGATGAAGTCTATTTCCAATGTAAGTTTGAATTAAATATTTATGGATTTTTAACGCATATCTTCTTACAGACATATTAAGTTTCAGATTAAGTATGGATATCAAATCTCTTTATCGTATATTTCTCCCACCGATAAATCTTAAATAAAATTTTAAATGACTTTAATGTTATATTAAAAAATATTTTTTAAACTCAATCCGATTTTATTAAAATAAATTTATATTCACTTATTATTTTTAATCAATTAGAATCTCCCATCAAATACGCCAAAAAAATCTCACGTAGCATCGTAAAATAACACATTCAACTCATTCACTTTCTCTGCATTATTGAAAAATGAGAATTAATGAAACCACGAGAGAAATCAAAGAATGCTGCAACCCAATCTGAGATAATTGACAAAAATATAATATATTTATAGAACAAAATTTTGTACACGTAGTTGTATGCGACATAAAAAATCATACTATACGATACGCCAAATATTAGGTGATACGTATTTTATACGATGAACATGTTGAGCAAGCAACACACCCAGATAAGATTCTCCCAATTAATAAATTTTGTTTGATTTTCTGTGACACGTGTCACACACAAATGCGACTTGCAAGTTGCAAAGGAATTGTGAATATTTTAAACTTTTTTATTATTATATTATTATATAAGAAAAGAATATCCTGCTTCAAATTACCAGGTAGATCTTATACCTTTTCACACAATTATATATCTTAAAAATCTTCACATTGCTAATTATAGAAGTAAATCGATGATTCATCACTTTAAGCAATTTATTAATAATTCAACTGTGTTTCGTTTCCTTTTGAGCCAGAAAAAAAGGGCTTCTGCACGTTTGTTAAGGTAAATTGTTTATTTATTATTTGTCTTTTTCATTTGCCTCAACTTGCCCATACACTCAAAACTGTTAATCAAAAAGATGAAGATTCCCGATAAAGTCATGCTACGGATTAATTAATATAATAACTCTACTTTATTAGTTAATTGTATTTTTAATCTTACATTTTAAAATTTAAAAAAATTGTTAATTCTTATCTTCTAAATCGGTTTTATAGGCTCATCGCCATAAATATTCAAAAGTTGAGCACTTTGTAATGTTTATCAATAAAGTCAGGTTGCTATAAAATATTATTTGCTACCTTGTCCATAGTCCTTATCACCATTTTGATTTCGAAATCTCACAAAATATCTATATAGAAAAAGAAAGCAGAGAATATTTACATTATTCGTTACTTAGAAGAAATCGTGAAACAAAATGAGTTGAATATAAACTTTGTGACTATCTAATATTTGATAAAATGCGGTCTTTGAAAAATAACGTTATGATGTAAAAATTAAACTCGAAGACCTGTATAAGGTTGAAAATTTCTTATTGAAAATAAAAGTTAATTTATAATATATTAATGAATATAAATTTTACTTTATAAATTGATTCTGTAATTCACATTAAAAACACTTTACTCTTCGATTATTATATCAATTATAGTCAAAAGTAATTAAAATATTAATTTAATTTAAAGATTTTTTTTATTTCAATTAGAGTCAAAATTGAGACCATAAATAATTTTCTGTCTTAATTTTTATGACAACCAATGTCTAAAATTTTTATTTTGTTTAATGATTATTTTGTTTCTATAATATTCTATATCACAAAAACTTACCAACATAGAAAAACGAGTATCTACAATACAAAAATACAGTTCAAAATATATTTTCCAATTAGTAGTATATATTAATTATTTACTTTAATTAATTTTTTATTTTAATAACTATGATTATTATATTTTGTTGAATTTTTTTTCTAACCTCTATTTCAGAGAAAAATTTCAGGAACTCTTATTTTTGGTTAATACGAAGTTTAAAAGTTATTTAAAAAATTAATTGTTGCAGATTTTATTTAACTATAACTCTTACTCTCGTTAGTAGACTTGACATTAATATATATCCATTTGAAATATAAATTCTTTTTCAAAATAGCATGCAAAACCGATTATTTCTTCTAGATTTTAAAAAAATAACGTTTTTTATTTTTTGTCAATTTTATTTTATTTTTTTCACATACTTTTAAGTATGAAGACCCAAAACAAATGTTATGAAATAAAAACGAAAAAACTCATACGACCGGATAATAATGTTTTTCTTTTAATAAACTACTATTTTAGTTCTTGAGAATACACAACTTATTACATTATGTTTGAAACTAAGTAAATTTTAAATCAAGTAATTGATCCAAAGTTTTATTTTAACAAAGGCAGACACATTAAATTTCAAACTTATTATAATTAATCTTAAAATTTATTATTCTTGAAGTTTTATTTTATTTTGATTACTTTTTAAGATTTATTATTTCTTACAAATATATTTTTTGTAACAGTTTTAAGTTAAATAATTTTTTATTAAAGGTCAATAATTCATTAATAATTTTTTTTCTGTTTGTTGTAATTCATTTTTTTCCATATTAACATATAATAAAACAAAGTTTTAAAGATACAAGAATAACAAAACTTAAATAAACACGTAATATTTTTACCACATTTCTAAAAGTTTATTTGTTATAACATTTCTGTTGTAAATAACATGACCCTAAAATAAACTTACAGAATAAGTCTTGCCAACAGACACACACACACACACGAAAGTTTCAATTTTTTTATTAAAAAGTTATTTTCAATAATTAATTTGACAAAACCATAATAAAGGAAAGGGAGGAAATATTTGCTCACTATTAATATCAATTAATAAAAACATATTTAGCATAAAAAAGCAATTATTAAATTTCATTTTATAACACTTAATTTATAAAGAAACTATCTTCTTACACTATGTCACTCGATAATTCGAGGTTATCTTTCCATATTCTCACATGATATTTCTTTTATTAGTTTTCTAATATTTCACAATAAAATAAATACATTCCAATATCACACAACTACTCAGAGTTATCTCACGTCACAAATAAAAAATGTCTACAGAAATTTAAACAGAATTTCAAAATATTCGAATATTTATCACTTTATTAAATTTGGAATAAATGTTTTAATCATTTTATTAAACAGCCTCAAATTTCACACATTACTGCATTTAATTAATTTGTCCCTTAGTAAAACTACTGTCTTTACCTAGAAGCTCTCTTTAGAATTTACTTTCTTTTGTTTTTATCATTAAAAAGATTATAATAAAATTTATATTTAGCAACGAATGACAATTATATTTTTCTTATAAAATATAAAATATTAATTATATGTTAGCAGAAAAAAAATACTCACTTTTATGTGCTTTCAAAATCTGTAAAATGATAATAATTATTTTCCGTGATGAATAAGTCATATTATATAACCTACACTAAATGATTAGTAATAAATTATCAATAAGGTTAAGTGAAGGTACATGTATATTTGTTCTTACAAAGTCATTATGAGATAAAGAATGACGTCATATTCTAACAGCGAATCAGATCGAATCAAAAGGCCGGAGTCAAATCCGGGCCATGGATTTGCCTCAACGCTCTGATTTGTAATCACCAAAAGATTTAAGCATATTAGTTTTTCTCTTTTATTATTATTTGACAATTTATTTATCTGTTTATTTGTTTTGTATTTTGTCTATAATAGTTGAAACAAAAGAAAAAAAGAAGAAAGGGATAAGAACAAAGAGAATCCAAGAGAGAATAATGAAAACAGAGTTACTCTTTGAACAGTCACCTTGAATTCTGCACACTCTCTGCACAATTCGTATTTTGTCATCGATCATTTCCTCCCAATTCACTTCACATTCAGGTGCCTGTTCTTCTTGATCTCTTCTTTTGTTTCTCTGTTGAGAGCGGAGATTTTGTTTTACTGCGATTCTTTCCATTCCTTATTCATTCTGCCCTTTTCTCTTCTGCTCCAACTGTTAGCTTATCATTTCCAACCACAACTCCATCTGCACTCGTATTTTTCTTGTTTTCCTTCTTAATTTCTTCTTCTTCTTTTTATGATTGTTTTCCAGATTGTTGAAACTCGTGGATCGGTTCAGAAGCTCTTTTGCTGAATCCAGATTTAAATAGCTAATTTCTTCTTCAAAGTTATTACTCATCCTCCACTAAACTATGACTTCTGTTTGTCGTCCAATTTCTCGGAAGTCATGCTTCTATTTGTCGAATTTATTGACAATTGTCATATATATATATATATATATTTTATTGCGAACAGTTAGTTCTTTCATATAGTTGAATAATGTATTTTTTCTGGAGAATGCTTGAGTGGAGAAGCACTCAGTAGCATCTTCACATTCAATTAAATTTAGGAGCAGTAATAAGAAATGTAACTTCTTTGAACAGCAATAAGCCACTAATCTTCAATCTGACTATTAAGTTTCTATTCCCTAGAAATTGTAGCAATTTAAAATACTGATATGTTGCTAGTATTAGCTTGAATGGCTCTTTGGGGGCTGGAGTCTCCTTTCTTATTTCTTGAAAATCATTTTCTTATCTTCTGTCTAAACCATTCTCGGAATGCAGCATTGCCGAATTTCCTCCTTGCATTTATCTTAATAATTTTTTCTTAAGTTCTGCAAATATGATACTTTTTTGTATTATCTGTGGCACTATGGCGAAAGCAATACATTAAAAACTAGAACATGCCATCCAGAAGCTTGTTTAAGTTTTAACCAACGAGACAGTGAACAAGCTTGGTCTCTGGTTTGTTATAATACAATACCTATTTCTGTATACTGAGGTAGTTAAAGGCAGAAAGCGCCCTTGAGGAGTTAGAGTCCCAAAGTCTAGCGATTAGTTATTTAACATCTTGATTCTTTAGTATTATTACCCTGTTTTGCATCATGTTGGCTAATTGGATGGCTGATCCTTCATAGATTGTTTAATGTTATCCACAGACACATTCCTAGGGAGGCTGACCCCTTTGAGTGCCTCAGGGTGTCTTTTAGTGCCATTGACTACATTTATTGGAATCCAAACTTCTCATCGGTTTGGGTTTCAAAACATTGGATGCAAGTGAGCTAATGTCTTATCCAAAACAGTGATATTTCTATTTTTGTACTCTTGCAAAGCAGTTGCTGTTATTTTCTGTGTGGTTATTACATGGAATATCCATCTGGTATGAAGTCTGCGCATTATATTTGCGTTGTTTCTTAAATATAGGTTAATTTGTTTGTTTAGTTGTTGTATTACTATTTAGTTATACGCAACATTTGCAGTCATAGTAATATTGTCAATGACACTCTTGCTTTTTCAATCTATTATTTCTTTTGTTTTAAGTCTTCTTCTATTTCCCTTCTTTAAGAAATTTAAGTTAATGCGTGTTTTTTTTTCTAATTCAGTTCTCAATGGGAATATATCTCAGCACTCCCAAAGTTGAAAAGTTTTCTGAAGATGGTGAAAATGAGCATCTTAGATATGGTTTATCATCCATGCAAGGGTGGCGTGCAACAATGGAAGATGCTGTGAGTAATCATTGTAAAAGTTGCTAGTTTTATAAATCAAATGACTTTTGCATATAAATCCAGAATTCCCAAGTGAATAGTTATAAACCACCGATGTGATAAATGACAATGTCTAGTAAGAAGTATCCTGAATTGACTGGGTATTATGCTACTTTATATCTGTCACTATTTGAATGTTGTTTTACTACTCCTTAGATTGATCCCGTTTATTTTATAGTTGCTTTAGACAGTAATGTTTGCTGCAGCACCATTTCCCCCATTTTCCATTAGTGCCTCGATTTGTTAAAAACTAGTGTGACATTTGTGGAATGGCATATTTTCAATAAAAAGAGTGCTAGCAATGTACTTTTGTTGGAGCATCTCTAATTGAGATGCTATAAAATACTTAGAGTTGCTTCAAGCAACTTTACCACTGGGGTTGTTAACATAACATTGAAAGTTGCTTAAAAAAAGTTTGAGTGGCTTGTACAAACAACTCTTACAAATAAAAAATATCATCTTAATAAGTATTATTAATCAGGTCTAAATTAAAAGAATATAAAATAATCAGTTGCTTGGAGAAAGAATATTTATGGATTCACAAGTTACACTTGAGCCTTGGGCAAATGTTTTGTTGGAGAAAGATGGACTTTCATCCCCAAGATTTCATGCTTTGTGGTTAATAGGTTTATCTTTTTGTTTTATAATTTGAAGCATGCAGTTCACAGGTGGACATTGTTAATTATTCTTTTAGAGTTTCTGCTCTCCTTAATTATGGTAGAACAGATAAATATTTGTTAGGAAATTCCAAGAATGGTGGACGTCCCAGAATTTCTTTGGTCTCATTCTTCTAGCATTTTTTTCAATAGTGTGTAGCAATAGTAGTACATTTGTAAAATAACCTGTTGATCTCATGTAATGCATAATTTACTTGCGTTGTCATTTCTAGAGCAGCAATGATTTTTGTCTAGTGAAATGTGATTTCAGGAAGTGAATGTGATGACATCGATTCTGCTTTTAAAATTTTATCTTTTAATTCATTTTATTATTTTTCACTAACATTGTTTGTTAATATGTTGTTGATTTTTGGTTCTCTTTTCATTTGTTAGCATGCTGCATATACTAATCTGGATGATTCAACTTCATTTTTTGGTGTCTACGATGGTCATGGAGGTGAGGTTTGAAAAATTTGGTTACTTTTATGGCAGAATGTCGCTTTTACTACTTTATTACTAATTTACAGATTTTTTTTACCACTTTGGGGTGGTATTTTATCTTTTACGTTCCATCTCTCTTTTGGAGAGCATCTCACATTCCTAATCCTACCTCCTTTAAGTGTCTAAGAAGACAAGGAAGACTAACGTGTCATATCTTCTAAAAGATAAAAAAAAAGTAAAGAGGAAAAGAAAAAATGGAATTTGGAAGTCCTATGTAATCTAATAGAAAAAATTCTCTGAATATTCATTAAAAAGACACTTCCGCAGAACCCAACTTCATTATTTATATATTCTAAAGAAGTCATAAAGTTAACCTTTGTGTTGCTACTAGTTGTAGTTGATTTCAACTTTTGAGGCATGAATTAAATTTTAAAAAATTCTCGTTTCTTGTGACATAGGCATGGATTATAGTTTGCGACATGCATGAAGACCCTAGTGCATTTACACCATTGTAACTTGTGTTCTTTGATTCTAGCTTTTCAAGATAGAACCTCACACGGTTTCCATCTCTTGGTCAACCGTATTTTCTGCTCTATTTAATGAATTGATTTTTTCTGATTGCCCCTTTCAAACCATTTTTCATGGTAGAAAAGATCAAGATCCATTTATGCTTATCTTTCTCTACTAATTTGGTTTTTACTATTGTGTGCCATATATTTGACTTGTACTACAAATTTCAATAATCCCCAACCAATCAAGAGGAAAATACTTCATAAATTATTTCTAGTTTGAAATCAATTGTGTTATGGGCGCTCATGAATCCAAAATTTCAGGTAAGGTGGTTGCAAAGTTTTGTGCGAAGTTTCTCCACCAAGAGGTGCTCAAAAGTAAAGCATACTTAACAGGAGATATAGGAACCTCTCTTCAGAAATCCTTTTTAAGGTTAGATTAAAAAGATGTCCACTTCTACAGGGCAGTGCCTGAATTCATCAATTAAATGACAAAACTGGTTTCAATATTTCATTTTTTCAAGAAGTTGAATTTATATTCTATTAAAGATTTTCAATTTGGTTCATCAGCTAAAATCTCAGTTTGTAGTTCTTATTTTCTATATTCTTTTCCCTTTTTTGATACAATAGGAAATTTCATTAACGGTCCCTCTCAAAGTTAGGTAGGATTGTTTTATTTTGTACACTTAAATGATTGGAATAGTGTGAAGAAATTATATTTAACCTTTTTAAATGACAAGTTGTATCTCACTTGTCAGTTGATGATTATGGTTTGCATATTCATTTAGTTACTGTGTCCTGTTAAGCTTAGTTATTATTGAGTAGACATGGAGTGCGATATTGCATTGCTTCTCTCTCCTGGTCTAATTGAAAAGGAATAAAGAGTAACGATTGATTACTTATACATCTCTCCCTGTGTCCTAAGAGGAAACCTGTGTCCTAAGAGGAAACCTGTGTCCTAAGAGGAAAGTACTGAAGTGAAATGTTATGAACTGGTGTTTTCAATGTTATGCAGAATGGATGAGATGATGCGTGGTCAAAGGGGATGGAGAGAATTATCAATATTGGGGGATAAGATAAACAAGTTTACCGGGATGATAGAAGGTTTGATTTGGTCTCCAAGAAGCAGTGATGGTAATTGCCAAGTTGATGATTGGGCTTTTGAGGAGGTAAGTATATTTGACATTTGAAGATGGATATCCTAAACAATACTCATCAGTATCACTTCTTCATTGGGCACACTTGATAATTTGGGGCATGGTGTGGCTTATAGTGGAAATAAGATCTCTTATATCTCTCAAATTTGAATTTACTAATTGCAATCAGGGCCCTCATTCTGATTTTGCTGGACCAACTTCGGGAAGCACTGCCTGTGTTGCAGTTATTAGAAACAACCAACTTGTTATTGCAAATGCTGGTGATTCGCGATGTGTGATATCTCGGAAGGGTCAGGTAACTTACCAGCAGAAATTCATGGAACACTAATTATGCATATTATTCACAGACAGATGCATACTGGGGTACAAATAAACATAAAATTCTGTTTCATTCGTATAAACACTACATTTGGGAATGTCTGCCTCTTAATTTGGCTGCTCAAAGTTATTAGGGACCTTTTTTATGGATTTTTTATGGCATATAATATGTTTTGTCTTTTTTCTTTTGTAAACTATACATATCTTGTAGATAAATTACTTACGATGTTTTTACTATGGTTTTTTTTTTTTTTCTACAGGCATACAATTTGTCTAGAGACCACAAACCTGATCTTGACATTGAGAAGGAAAGAATCTTAAAAGCTGGTGGTTTTATTCACGCTGGACGAGTTAATGGAAGTTTAAATCTTACAAGAGCTATTGGTAATGTATCTATGCGCCAGTGAACTTTATAAAATGAATAATTATGCTTCTTTTTTATTTCCTCTTTTTTTTTTTCATTTATAACTTGAGTGGACAGCCGGGGCTGCGCTCCTGCATCTTTAGCTCAGGAAGATCCATGAATTGTGTACTTGATGAATAAAACACCATAACAACTTTCTACTTGTGTTTTGTATGTTTTATGTTGGTTCTTTACACGAAAAGGAAATTGGTCAAAAATCATATAACTGGAGATTTCAATTTTGTGTGTACTCGTGATGATAATTTCTTCGTGAAGATACAGATTCCTTTTGGGATTTTGAGGGTGGGAATGGAAATGGGTTTTAAAATTTTCATCCTTTAATAAGTTTCAATTAACTGCAGGTGACATGGAATTTAAACAGAATAAATTTCTTGCTGCTGAGAAACAAATTTTAACTGCCAATCCAGACATAAACACTGTAAGTTTATTATTGTAATACAATTCAGCTAGCTTGCCTCCGTGATAAATGTGCCACCGTTTCTATTTTTCTATATAGTGGAAGGATCCATAATAAAATGCATGGGCAGGGCTTATTAGTAGTCTAAAGTATTAAGTTTTATGTATGCTGTTATTACTAATACATCATTGTTAATTTGAAATTTTTTATAGGTTGAGCTTTGTGACGAAGATGAATTTGTGGTGTTAGCTTGTGATGGCATATGGTATTCTCGTGGTTTCCACATCTCCATTTGATTCTGAATGTTATGATGTGTTTAGCCGTCATTTACATTATTAAAATGTGATAAGCACCAATGAATTTTAATTCTAGGACAGGAGTGACTGTTATTTATGTCTTGTGTGGGTGGAATGAGTTTATTGATTCCTACCTATAAACGAGTAAATTATATCAATCTTCTTTCAAAATTACACACTGATGTAAACACCTCTAGTTTCCATCCAACAAATGCCTTCATCAACCCCTTTTTGGATAGATGTAAATTGATGTCTTAGCATGCCAATGCCATCTACAAAAGCATTGTTGGCACTGAGTGTTATTCTGAAACTAGTTATTTGCTTAAATATGCCCCTTCAGATGTGTTTTTGAAAATATTTGTTTCTCATTATTTCCAGGGATTGCATGTCAAGTCAACAACTAGTAGATTTTATTCATGCCCAATTGCACACGGTGAGTTCTTTTTTAATTAGGTGATAAAGTATTAACTCAATTAAGAGCGACTGTATACTCATTAATGATATTTAATGAAGTACTTAGTGCTTTGATGGATAAGAACTTCACCATTTGTGCTTGTAATTGTTGAAGAGAATTATTAAAGGAGGGCTCTTAGTAATATGTAATATTTCTTGTGTTTGGACAGAGTCACACTGTTCTTTGTCGCTCAATGCATTTTTTAACAATAGCCATTTTCTTTTACTAGACCTCTAGCACTGCTCCATTTCTAATCAATTCTGTAAATGTTTTTTGCCTGAAATTTATGGTCTTGGATGATAATGCTTTTGGTGCCACAATTTTTATATAAGTGATTATTTTATGTGGCAGGAAACCAGACTTTCTACTGTGTGTGAAACAGTACTTGACCGGTGTTTGGCACCATCAACTGCCGTTGGCGAGGGATGTGACAATATGACCATGATCTTGGTGCAGTTCAAAAGACCTGCTCGGTCCAGTGAATCAACAGAAGAGCAATCCTCTTCAACCGGACAAGCTGAACCTGAAACACAACTAGAGAGAAGTGAAAGTTAGTATAATTCCTCAGCAACAGTTCAAATATTGTATCATATATACATACATATATACAATATATATACATATATTAAATATATTTAGTGTGCACCAAATGATTAGAATGCGTCGGAATGGTCATTTTCCCTTCTTCTCACGTTATACACAACAGCTATCCTGATTACCACAAGAATATCAGTTTTACTTCTGTCTCTTCTCTCTCGTGTCTACTTTAAACTCTGAAAAGTTGGTTTTGCATCTTCAATTCGCGGCTCCCTAATGTCATTAATTGTTGTTGTAATCGACAACCTGCAAGAAAGCTGCTAGCTCAGTAAAAAGTCTTTATGATAAAAGAAAGCATAAGCTAGAATGAGTGGGGTTCTTGATCGTAAAACAGTACTATTGGTGATTATGAAAAACTGTTTATTTTTGGCATTTTGTTTAGGAACGGAGCTTTAAGAGGTGGTGCCTTTTATGGGATCCATTGAATACATTGAAAAATCCTATTTGGGAGTAAGGTAGATATAGAGGCAAAGTCGGCTATTCCAGCAGTCTTAGGCTTGATCATTCTCAGGTTACAGAGCACTGCACCTTACAAATAGTGAATGTAATATTTGGTATATCCTGTCTCCCTGTGAAGTTATTTTATTGTGAAGTTATTTTATTATTTCAATATTGACTGAATTTAGCATTTGGAGGGAGGAAAATTGTACTTTTATTATTTAAACAATCTCACTTTTGTGATTTAGATTAGATTGTTTATTTTTATTTTTAAATTTTTTTACCATTCAACTTTTGACTAGTAATTATTATTAGAGCGGTCAAAACGGATCACTTGGTTCGACTCCACATGACCCACCACGTGGTTACCTAGTGAGTCCACTCAATCAAGTTCATAACGAGTCGAAAAAATTTTGAACTCACCCCAATTTACCATGAGTTAATAGGTTAAACGGATTGACTCAATTATAATCTTTTTTTATTAAAAAAAATAACAAAATATTTTTAATTAAAATCTTAATAAAGAAAAAGTGATTTTAAATTAGATTTATGATCAATCAAATATAATATTTCACTTACAGGAATATATCACAAAATCTCTTTAACAAAATTTTTAATGATTTCGTAATGATTCAAATTTATTTTTACATAAAAATTGAGTTAGTAAGTATAGATTTGTAGATTTTTCATATTGTCTAATTATTTCATATAAAAATTGTAACATCCCAAAAATACAGTATAAAACTATATAATAGAATAATCATATCTAATAATATTATAGCTTAGTCTTTCAAAAGAGATTCAGTACAGATACGGCCGAACGGCCTTACAATATAATGGGAAGTTGAAACTTCACACTAGCTACAACTAGGCCAAACGGTTTACAAAAGACCTATACCGAACGGTCCTACAAAAGAAGTAGCCAAGAGAGGTACGAACGGTAATACAAAGAAAACCAACAGCTGACCGAACACTTCTACTGTTCAGTCTTAACTTCCACCTCGACCAGATTTTCTTCTGCTAGCGCTTCTTCCAGCAACTCATCTCCTTCTGCTCACATCCACACGGATGATCATTGCAACAGGACAAACGACCGAACGTACAAAACGGACTAGACAGGAAAATAGGTTAAGCTTATGTAATTCAATTCAAGTATCAACATAGATTTCACTCAATTCAAATAAACGAGATAATTCATTCACTTATACATGCAAAGCCTAATACTAGACTCTGACTGTCCGGACTGTATGAATTCTGTGTAGCTACGACGTTCGTGCACCCGTGTGATGTAGTAACTTGGATACCCTCAACAGCTGCCACCCGAGGTTAGTCCTATCTGTCCAAATTAACCATAAGGACTAGGACCTCCTGCCATTCCCACGCATGACTTACCCTTCTCTACGTGAGAACGAGTAACCACGAAATATCATGATGAACAGCATGCCCACATTCATACTTTACCAAATTCCAATATCCATTCATGAGATATTCCTCCACGGAATACTCTTTCATAATCAAAGTCGTTTCATCCATATCATATTCTATCATCTTTCATTATTAAACCTCAATTTGAACGAAGATCCCTTAGGATACCAAATTTCGAACGTAAATCCTCAACCCCGAACGAGACCGAACACTTGGAGTGAGACCGAGAGGTCTACTATTCCAAAACAGATCAAAACCGAGAGACTATCGGGGTTGGGAAGAGACCGATCACAATAATATTTCTCAAGGCTAATAGAATCGAACGTTATTTACAAGGTGAACAAATTTAATGAACTGACTCATGAGCGTTTAGACCAAACACCGTAAAGCCTAGACCGAGTACTAAGACTGTAGGCCGAAACCAATGGAGATAGACATTGTAAGACATCAAATGATAGTATTTGAAGGAATCATATGAAGGAACCGAACGCTATAATTACTTAGCTTATTTATGAGTTTAACATCAAAGATAACGAGTGCTAGTCAAAGACCGAGCACTGTAGAGATCGAATGCTATTGAGTTTGGCTGAATGCTCTCATTTTAAAATCATATTACTTAATCAAGGTCGAGCGGTTGGTTTAAGACCGAGCACCACTTAGTACGAGTACTTGGTGTAAGACCGAACACTACTTAGCACGAGTACTTGGTGTAAGACCGAGCACTACTTAGTACGAGTACTTGGTGTAAGACCGAGTACTACTTAGTACAAGCGCTTGGTGTAAGATCGAGCACTACTTAGTACGAGTACTTGGTGTAAGACCGAACACTACTTAGTATTATAGAATAAAAGCTTGATAATTATAAGATATCGTTTAAGTAATGTTCAAGACGAACAACATATATACAAATACATATAGATATACTTAAGTTTATAACAGAATACCAAGGAACGAATATCATTGGTTGAAAGCTTATATATAAATATTACTAAACGAAGACGCTCGTTCCTCAACTGGAATTCCATCCAAATGAACGAATCCAGTTCTAACCGAGTCTACAAGAAAACCGAACGGTCAATGACCTTTAGTGACGAACATCCATTTCCACATAGTAATACAGACTTAAAATTCATACTCTTATTAATTCATTCCTCAGAATTTATCTTCATACATTCATATAGTCAAAACATAGTACAATCATACTTCATATTTCATCCAACAATCAAACAAGCATGCCAACATTCAAAAACGAGAAATAAAATCAAATTATATAAGTTTCCCTTACCTCTAAGCGTAACCGAACGTTCACAAATACAGCATATGGTTCGCCTCTACCAGAGACCTTAGCATTCTACAGTCACGCCTTAAGAAACTAAATCAAACACAAGACCAGAAATACTCAGAATGAGAGGATCAACTCATGTAACCAAAAATATGGGTTTGCATGCGACAGAAAACTCACGGCTGAGGGAGAAATGAACTTATCATCTCGGAATCAAAAACTGATCGGTTCAAACGAACGCCCTCGACGCCGAGAGTACTCAAGTGTGGTTTGTTTGATGATCGGAGGAAGAAAAGAGTAAGATTTTTGTAGAGGGAGGATGAAGAAATCTTAGAGAGAATGAGGAGATTTCAGAAGGTTGAAGATGGGTGGTGCATGAAGAGAAGTGGCACGAAAATTTGAAAGTTTCAGTTTTACTCCTACCGTCAAAACCGTTCGTCCAATCTGCATCACACACCTGTCTTCCATTTTCTGAACTTCAGACGCTCCGATCGCTTACACCTGGCATCCACTCAAATGGGGTTTTTAGTGGGTTCTGACAAAAATAATTTCATTCAAACTTTCATTTCAAAAAATTTTCGTAAAATGATCAACTTAACAAAAAATACTTATTAGAAAAATTATAAAAGTCCGATTCACCAATAAATTCAACCCGAATGAGCCGAGTTCAAAATTGGTCGGTATGAAAATTTTAATAAAAATTTCAACCCAACCTATGATGAACTAGATTAACTCAGGAGTTCGAATCTATTTTGACAACACTAATTATTATTGTTATTATAAAAGTCAATAAACATTTTAATAAATGATTATTTATTAAATAATAGCACGAAAATGTAAAACTTACTTTCTCTTTATTTTAATACCTTAACAAAAGTTAAGGATCCCTTATTTGGCAATAACGGCATCAATAAGCTCTCACATTTTTTTTTATACAAATCTTGGTGTTTTTATACATTTCATAATCAGTTTACATCTTATTGTGATCCGAGCACATCTTAATTCCCTTACTACATACATCCCACCCCTCTATCATCAGCACCGAAAGCCTCATCTGTAATATAGCCGCGAAGCACATGCCTGCAAACACGAAAAAAATTGTAGAGCTTAAGTAATCCCAACCATATCGTATGTAAGGAATAGTAATATGATATATATTTGTGGGTAGAAATACTCACTGTCTAATGTTCGGAATTGATCCTCAAAAGTTATTGCAAGTACCAGGAGACTTTTTTTACATAAGTACTTCTCAGTATTAATCAGTAGGAATTCCAGCATGATACGCTTTTTTTGCATACCAATCATTAACTGAAAAGTTCAGGCATGCAATTCTAATATCCAAGGCAATTTCCATGACAAAGTGTTCCTACAAAAACCAAGATAAAAGGTTAATAAAACGAATGAATAATGCATACACAGACAAAGTAATAGTCTATTTATTACATTGTAACTATCAAAAGTTATATCTAGATTGATTTCTAATTGATTGACAATTTGACACAGCGAAAACTTTTACATTGACAATGCATAAAGAATAACCATCTTAAAAGTCATGTCATTGATGATTTCTAATCAGTTTATTTGTAAACATTTACGGTGAAATCAGGTAAAATCAATCATATTGTTTCCATGAAATCATTCTTAGTAAAACATTAATACCTCCATGCCACCCTTTTGAATCAGGAATATACGAAAAGGTCCCATGAGATAACTCAGTAAAATCAACATTTATTAGGCAATTGAGCAAATGTTCCTGCATTAGGACTACACCCCACAACCATCATCTTCTTGAGGACAGAAAAGGCTCGATCTTTGTTCCCTGACATAGTATGCCCACGAATGAGAGCATTGTAAGTGAAGACATTAGGTTCAAGACCCACAAGCTGCAGTTCCTCAAACATCATTCCGGCTCTGTCCACCATTCCAGCATTTCCAAAATGGAGAATCAATGAATTGTAGGTATAAAGATCAGGAGTAATTCCCCTATTCTTCATTTCACTGAAAAGAGAAAGAGCTTCCTCAAACATGTGAGATTTTCCAAGGCCATTGATCATAAGATTGTAAGAAACAGTATCAGGGTCAAGGCCAGTCAACTTTAGTTCCTCAAAGTAGTGCAAAGCATCATCAACTCTGCCATTCATGCACAGACATTCTACAAGAATGGTATAAGACTTTAAATCTGGCCGTATCCCTTCCTTAACCATCCTTTTGAATAAATCACAAGCAATGTCAACGTTGCCTGCTTTCCCAAATCCGTTGATGAGAATATTATAAATAGCACAGTTGGGCTTACAATGATAGTCTGTCATCTCCTCAAAAATATTCATTGCTTCATCTAATCTTCCAGCCTTTAAAAGGCCGTCTATGAGAGGGCCATATGTACAAGGAGTGGGAGAGAAATCACCACTTACGAGATCATAGTATAAATCTAATGCCTTATTTAAGTTTTTACATTTCACAAGGGCAGAGATGACGATATTATGGGTTATGGTATTTGGCTTGCATCCCCTACAGAGCATATCATTGTACAGTTCAAAAAGTTCATCAATCCTCTTTGATTTACCATGAGCATCAAGCAGCAAGTTATAGGTGAAAATATTAGGGCAACAACCCGCATTCTTCATCTCAATAAAAAGTTTGAAAGCTGGTTCGGCGATATTACTTCCAAGAAGCCCATCTATCAAGCAATTATATGATTCCGAGGAAGGGTGAACTCCAAAAGTTTTGGTGAATTTGTCAAACAAATTTTGAGCATGCAGAGCCTTGTTCTGCTTGCACAGGACTCTAATCAAAGGTATTATCAAATTATCATCTAGGCAAATAGAATGGCACACCAATCCTTCAGCAAATGAAATGGCCCCTTCTATTTCTGCTTCAATCAAAATACATTCCATTAATTCTCCCCAGAATTGACTACTTGTCTGTGAACCTGGTTGATGAACAAATTCCATGACAATCTTGATTGCATCTTCAATACTTCCATACTTTACAACACCAGGAAGGAGGGTGTACAATGTTACACGATCAGGGGAGAGAAATTTCTTCATTTGATGGTAAAACCAGAATGCATAATCAGCCCTGCCTTCTTTGAGTAAACCATAGATAATAGTGTTATAAGTCAGAACATCAGGACTACAGCTCATGATTGTCATTCTACAGAACATTTTCAAAGCCAAATCAACTGAATCATTCTTGCAAAGACAATCAAGGAGTGCGTTAAAAGTCACTGTGTTTGGAGGACATCCAGACTCATTCATACTCCCAAACAAATCAAGGGCTTTCCGGAGTTTTCCTTCTTTCCCTAAACCAGTAAGTAAAATGTTGTATGTCACAACTGTAGGAGCTAGCTTCAAATCCTTCAGTCTCCCAAACATTTTCCATGCCTCATCAACTCGGTCAGCCTTGTAAAGTGTGTCAATTAAAGAATTAACTACAATTATATCTGGTTCACACCCTTCACTTAACATCTCAGTCAAAAGTTTTGTGGACTTGTCTATTTGCCCTGCTTTGCTGTAGCACTTCATCATCATGTTATAGGTTACTGAATCAGGTAAAAGCCCACAATTGTGAAGATCATTGAATATATATTTTGCTTCTCTGATCCTACCTGTTTCAGCTAGACTATATAAGGACGCATTACATGCGGCTATACTAGGCAAAATACCTCTCTTTTTCATTTCTTGAAAGGTGTCAAGAGCTTTTTCAGGATCACCCAACTTTCCATAGTAGTCAATAAAAAGAACGTATGAATAAGCAGTTGGTTCAACACCCAAAGATTCCAGATTGCTGAAAAGCTCTAATGCCTCATCTAATCTTTTTAGGGTCAAAAGTCCAGAGATCAACGTGTTGTAAGTATGAAGATTTGGAAAAATTCCTTTCTCTTTCATCACATCTAATATATCAAATGCCTGATCAACTTTTCCTGACTTACATAAAGCCTCAACAATTATAGTGTAGGAAACCACATCAGGAGCATAACCATCAGCCTCCATCTCATTCCAGAATCTTTTCACCATTTCCAAGTTGCCATAATTGCTGAACTTGCCCATTAAAGTAACGTAAGTCACCTGATCCGGTTTGTGACCGCTAGCTCTCATCTTTGAGTACAATTCCATGGCCTTGTCAAGTTTCCCTGCAGCACAAAGCGCATCAATTAGAACCGTATAAGTGACAACATCAGGTCCGCATCCTTCATCCTCCATTGTCTTCAAAATCCCATACGCATCATCGATTCTCCCTGCCCTCCCAAGCACTCTAATACATATGGTGTATGTGTAGATATTTGGCCTCAAACCTAATGTTTTCATCTCTTCCAATAAATCCATAATGGTTCCGGTCTCCCTCCTCTTCCCCAATGCTACCATTAACGCTGAGTAAGTCTTCATACTAGGTTTCATCCCTTCCGAGATCATTCTTTTGTAAACCTTCAAAGCCTCTTTACAAAAGCCAGGTTGGAGCAGGAAATGAATCAGTCCATTATATGAATAAGCATTCAAGACAAACCCAGCTTGCCTCATCTTTCCAAGTGCAAACGGTGCTTGTCGAATCCCACCTTTAACCGAAAGAGCCTTAAAGATAGTCAGAAAGGTATTCGGATTCCTGTTAATCACTTGCTCTTGCATAAAATCGAAAACAAAAACCATATCCTCAACTCTCCCATGAACCCTCAGGAATTCAAGCATGTAATTACATGTTTCAGGTGTATGCACAAGATTAGGCAACTGGGAAACCATCTTAAAATACGAAAGAGCAGAATTGAGATCCAGAATTGACTTCAAAACGCCAATAACTTCTTCAGAAGACACTCTAGTTTTGCTCTTGCCATTTACTGCAACCACTTCAAGGGCACATCTTGTCTCCAAGACACGAATACCCAATTGTCTTTTTCCATGTTTCTTCCAATTTACCAAAGACCCATTTGGCAAAGATTTCATTTTGACAAATGGGGTTCCTCCAAAGAATCCATTATTGCTCAAAGCATAAACATTGGTGTCACCCAAAGCACAACAAGAAGTAGAAGAACGGGGCACTATAACAGCCATAGAAACACAAAAGTCCAACAGTAACAAACGAAAGGAGAGACTAGAATTCAGAACAAGCACATTGAAGAGTAGATGATGGCAAATCAAAAGTGTATGAACCTGTCACCGTAATTGGGTATGCAAACTGAGCACAGTAGAGAGTATTGCTTGATGAGATACAGAGACTTGGCCAAACATCAAGTTTGGGTTTTGGATATTTTTGCCACCAAAATATCAGCATGTGTAATGAAATTGTAACATTGCGGGCTTACCCTTATGATTGCGAGGTGATGGCTGAGGATACAAGTTCAACCTTATCAGTGATGAAATATCTACATGTTTAAGAGACAACTGCTACCAATAATAAAAAAAAAAAAGATAAATTCTAATCAGCACTTACTCATTTAAAAGTGAATTTTTTTTATTCAAATATATTAACTTGTGCGTTTAATATATATATTAAAATGTTCTTGTAAAAAAATCTTGATTTTTTGTTACTTTAGAATTATAATATAAGTTGATATAGCAATTTATTTATTTTTAATGAATAAAAGTATTTTACTTCACAGAATTGACTTTAAAGTTTAAATCGTTTTGGGGAAATAAATCATATTTAATTAAGTTCATCCAACTTTAATAAAAAAAATTTACATGAAAAAATATTATTGGTTTTACACACAAAAAGTATTCTTTGTTTTTTAGGATAAAAATTATTCATTTTTTGAGTTTTATGATTGAGAGTGATGGTTTATTTATGTCATACATATTTTATATGATCGTGTGTATTTTGTCAACTCGTACTTTCTGTGTCTTTGTTTTATTTTTAAAACTTTTAAAAATTAGTTTTTATGTGTAAGGGAAAATTTTCTTCTTTAATATTTCATCAATTTTATATTGATTTTGAATCTTTATTCGTTGTTAAAAGTGTATTTAATATACATGAAGTTTATATATATATATATATATATATATATATATATATAATATTTTAGGAATCTCAACGTCTTTTATTATTTTCTTATATTAAATTAAGAAATTTGAAAAATTAAAAATACTTACATTATGTATTGATAATAATATGTAAAATACTCATTTGAACCACATGCATACATGTATATGGAATACATGTAAATTGATAAATATTCGTTACAAATCCTCTCGAAACCACTAATGCTCAAATTATACCTACAACTTCCTACTAATTCTCAAAACTACTAAATATACCACTACTATGAAATATTAATTACTCGAATATTATCATTTTAAATAAACAATTACTTAAATATAATAATTATTCCATTAATTTGTTTATTACAAAAACATCTACAAACATTATGTATTACAGTCTTTAATACGTCCAAAAAAAAACTACATGTTTAAATTTTAATGATTTCATGTAACTATGTTTCGAAAAATTGATACATTGTAATTACTGTTTTAAATTGATACATTCAACTACTAAATCTAAACTCTGTAACATAAAATAATATTTATTTTATTGTGTTCTTAGCATCTATATTTATTATAGCAATTAAATTCCTAAATATAACCATTATTTTGAATATTACACTCAACAAATAACAACAATTCCATTTAACCCTTTATTTCAACATTAAAAATTACAACAAATTCATATAATAACTATATATCTCTTTAAATACTTTACCAAACGTTTAAAATAAAATTGATTAATTATTCAACTTTATTTATAATAACAATTAAATTAACTATTATAATAAAAAAATAAAAAAAAATACAACGATGTAGCACGGGTCTCAAACTAGTTATAGATGAATTTTGTGCACAAGTTTTTCTAACGAGTTGGTCTAACCATGCTATAAACATTATATGATAATACAAGGAAAGTGTTGTGTGATTTAAATTAATCTGAATAACATTGAATAAAATTCAATTTAATATTTTAAATTTTGATTCTATTAGTTTGTTTATATTTTTCAGAAATATTTTGTTAAATAGACTAGAAAAAGCCTTGTAAGTTGAGTATAAATTATTTGTATATTATAAATAAATCATAGATCATAATAAATAAATCATAATATACAATCTGAAGATTACGAATCTTATTTTCCATATTAAAATATTTGAAACCACTTTCATTTTATCTTATTTTATGTTTAATTTTCATATTTTAGACGAAACCGAACTAAACCAAACATAGACTAAGGAGCAGCTGCTAGGTGCAGCCAACCCAACAACATCGACTCTCTGTTTTCTTGTATTTTGTGGCATAAAAGAAGAACCAAACCCTACCTTGTACCCGTGTTCTGTGTGCGTGTGTGACAGTGGTGGTAGCTAGCATCTTCTCTCTCTGCTCTAACCTCTTAATTTCAAAATGGTGAAAGCAAGTGAGAGCGGTGCAGTTCCTGAGCTGGTTATGGATGCAGCCAACGCCACTCTCTCCAACCTTCAACTACTCCGAACGCATTTTAACGACTTTTTGTCGCTCTCCGACCCTCAAACCCTCTCCCAAATGCCCCCTCTTCAACGAGCTCACGCTCTCTTCATCCTCGCTAAAATCACCTCTACCCTTCTCGAATGTAATCCATAAAACGCTTATTTTTTCATCATGAATGTTACTATTTCGAGTTTGATTCCACCTTGATTTTATCTTTCTTCTGTTTTCATTCTCTCCAGTGAATTTGAGATGTAGTGGGGTCCACCCAGATGATCATCCCATCAAATCAGAGCTCGTGAGTTTCTGACAATTCTGTCTTTTTTTAACCTTGACAATTGCTAACGAGTGTTTGATTTTCGTCTTCCCAGGACAGGGTGAACTTGTACGAGGACAAACTGGAACGTATGGTTGATTTGAGTAAAGGTACATTTTTCTTTCTTTTCTCAAAAGTGTGCTTAGTGTTATGCATTTGTTGAATGTCCTTGTTGAAAATTAAACATGATGGGTATTTGGAAGTTCAAGTGTAAATTGTTTGCGTTGTATTGACTTTTGGTTTTGTTTGTGAAGCTCCACTGCGACCTTCCACTACCTTGAATTATCAGGCGGCTACACGCTTCATAGAACACTCGCTGCCTGACCTGACTTCTGGTGAGTGGTAAATTGTTTTATGGACATAAACTTAGATGCTGTTCTTGAGGTGCTTTTCATGTTAATTGTGATCAAAATTAGAGTTTCATCTTGCTTTGCGTAAAATGGGTTTGCATTAATGGTCATCGTAGATTCGATGTGAAATTTCAAGTCTAAGCTGAAAACAATGCCGAACGCACCTAATAATTGTTTCTAAGTTCTGTTCTTATTTTATTCCTTTCAAGGGTTATCTATTGTGTCTCATCCAATTTAACTTCGTGTGTGTAAAGAGAAGTGGTTTATTTTGTGCAGAGCAGAGGGCAAATATGAGGAACATAAGTAGAGGGGAGAGAACAAAGACAAACCTTCCAGGTCGGGCAGGTCAAAAGAGGAAGTATCATTCTTCTGAAAAACAATCTGTTAAAGCAGCTGCCAAGGATTTTTTGGAGAAAGCTGCTCGGGAGCTTCTTGGTGATACCAGTGGCGGTATTAAGGGACCGCTACAAGTTGACATGTCAGAGGATGATGACGACAAACAGCCCTTATCCTGATTTTCCAGAAATTTGGTAGAGTTCCTCATAATGTTATTGTTTACTTTTTTTTTAATGTGAAGTTAATGTCCCAACTCTCTGATATGTCTTTTGTTATAGTTAATAGTTAGAATTTGATCTATAAATTTTGGAATTTTCTCTTATCAACATAGGAATGAACTCCGAACAAACAATACGGTTTTAGGGATCTTTGCAAATCTCTTGATATGCCTACTAGTTATATGGTATATGCCAGTTCCCAGCTAGGAAATTGTAGCATATTTGATGATTGGAGAAACTAAATATATTCTTTTTACTACTTATATAGTTTACTTTTATTTAATAGTTTTCATTGAATATTTGTCTTTCATCATCACCTTATTCCGACGCCTACTATCAATTTAGTGTTACACTTAAGTTGTCATCTGCAAGCCTTTCCTATTTAAACAAAGAAAGAATTGGTAGTATCAATATTGAGAAATCATTGCAGTTAAGAGAGTTGTTGGATAACTAGTTAATTGTGTTGTGTGATTGAGTTTTAACTGTAGCTATATAGTATTGCACATGAAGAATGTATAATTTCGTTTTAGATATCCTCTACAGTTCAAACATTATTATTATAAATGGAATTCATTGCAGCATACCAACTCAGATAATATTGTAGGAGCTTAGGACGTGTGGACAACATTGGAAGAGCATGACAACTTGCATTCTCATAATCTCTATTTGTAATAACCAAAATCTTTAAAAAAAGGGGAAAAAATATGCTGAAATGAATGGGAAGATTGTGAAGATATTTTTTATCTTGATAATATGCCATTCATAGCACTCCTGCTCTTGGTAAATGACTATCAATCATTCTGGACTTGTCTACAATAGATCTTGGAATCTTCCTTGAGGAAGCCCTTTAGTGAAAATGTCTGTTATCTAAAATCATGTAGGGACATGAGTTGTAACCACTAGGTCTCTCTATCAAGATTATCTTTGATGTAATGTCTATCACGTTGAACTGGATTATGGTCAATGATTATATCTTACTTGTTATCACAGCACAATTGCACAGGGATGTCAACTCTTATTTTAAGATCATCAAGTATGATATTCATTCAAAGTCCTTCACACCACCTTGTTCACTAGAACATGGCACTCTAGTTATATATTTTTCTTACATAGTTCAAGTTATATATTTTTATCAACTTTGGGGAAACATAACTCACCACATGAATGATAATAGCAAAGTTGCCCTCCGCCAAGTTGAATCACTGTGGGCCGTGGCTTCTTGCATAAAAGCCTGTTTGGAACACTCATTGGATTATGTTCGTTTTTGTCACCTAACATTCAACACTAACACCTGCTACAAGTAGTGTGTCTTGATTGGTAGGGTGGCAACTAAGAATGTCGTTAGCTATGCTGGCTGTTTTATTTTTATTCGAAATGTTGATGGCTATCAACAATGTCGTTTTTGGAGATATACAAAATGTCTTCTTCTTTGTGTTGAAGGTGTTTTTCACCCTCGCAAAGATTTGCAAGGCTATCTCCACTAATACTGGTTCACTCTGAATCAGGATTTTCAAAATAAAGTTTATTTCAGCAACTAGGACTTTGTGAACACCAATAGGGTTGTTTGTGTCCTTATGACACTTTTGTTGACACCATTTTCAGAATTTTCTGCATTACTAGAGTAAACTTTATATTCTATCATTATGGTAGTTTTAACCATTGCTATTAAAGTGTTTTTAGAGCCTTTTCATTGTCCTAAACATCACGAGATTTTAAATTTCTACAGTTTTTCTTTTAGAAGGACAGAATATCTCAAACATGGAACTAAATTTTTGTAGGTGGTCCCACAGGCCTGATAGCAGGTGGCTTAATAGGCTTAACAAGCCTTGTTAGGGTTGGCTCCAATACCAGGTTGAACAATGTAAGATCATAAAGAATTATTTTATTAAAATCAATCATACCAATTACATTCTCATAATCTCTATTTGTAATAACCGAAACCTTTAAAAGGAAAATAAATATATGTCGAAAATTCTTAAGATATTATTTTTTCTAATTACTCTGGAATATTAAGAATACTTTTATCCTAATAATTTGCTATTTACAACGACACACCACTGTTCGGGGTTGACATATGAATGAAGAGGGAATACTTTGATTTTATATAAGAAGAGACTCAATCCTTTAGCAAGTTTTGGATTGAATTTGGTCAATGTATCAAGTTCTCTATTCCTCCTTGTTGAAAACAGTCTAATATCTGGCATTTAAATTCTAGATACATGATTTTTCAGATTTATGCATCAGTTGGAGAATTATATGTACTGCTCGTTATTACCCTTGAATGTCATTGTCTTGTGGATCAATATAAATATATGGCCTGCTGAATACTTTTTCACTCAAGCATTTCATCAAAATGTTCAATCTTCAACTTGGTATTAGAACGGGTTGGATCTACTCTGCTCTATCTTTTGGGCACATCTCTGACTTTATCTACCACCATGAGAGATATTGAACATGTCAGCATGTTCAACACTTTTTAAACATCACTTATTGTATGCCTTCATTGTGTCCGACAACCCTAGTCAAGCTTGAGCAAAGAGGGTAAGCTTAGGCTAAGCATGTCCTAAACAATGCTATCATAAATTATCAAATTGTAGTATAGATATTGCAAGGCTTGAACTTTTTGTCAGGCTTGTATCCCGGGACTTAACTAATGTTTAACTATTAATAGGTATGTTTCTTAGTACTTATTGTGGGATCATTAGTATATGAAACTGTAAGACTTGGCAAATTTGTTTCAACAATGTAAATTGTGTATAAACATTAGCCATGTTTTAGAGTCCACATCGAAGTCAGTATTTCATAGGGCCTAGGTACATCATCGCCATCCACTGGTGTTGCTCACACCATTGAGAACTCCCTCTAAAGCCCCTCCTTGTCAAAACACTAAAATTTCAGAGACCATCCTGCTACGCATCCTTTCATAAATATTGACAACTCTGACAAGGCTGCTGGACTGCGGCAGTGCATGATTGGATATATCTTGAAAACATCCAAGTGTCCACAAGCTCAATATATTTGTTCCCTGCTTGTAGCATTCAACTTATATGCTCATCTGGCTTGAAGAGCGTTGGAAATCGGTCCTATAGTTGGCACATAAACTCTAGGATAAGTGTTTGTTGAGATTCATGCATCAGTTAGGGAATTATATTAACTTCTCTTTATTACTCTTAAATGTAATTGTCTATGAATCAATATAAATATGTGGTGTTTTTAGTGCTTTTCACTCAAGTTTTCACTCAAGTTTTCACTCAAGCAACTCACCCATGTATTCTTGAGCCCTACTGTTGGAGGAGCTCATTGTGCAGAAGACAATAGTGTCTTGTAAGTTTATGATTTAGACAGTCTAATATCTGGCAAAAAGTTTGAATATAAATCTCATTCAATGATATACGAGAACACATTTTAGATCAGTTGTTTTACTTTTCATTCGCACTGCTGAATACCTTGATTATGTTGGTTGTTTCTTGTGAAGTTTATACTCATTTCTTGTATGTTTATAGATTTTGTCGAACTGAAGAGAATCTTAGTGAAAAGCCTGCAACTTTCAAGTATTTTACTTGTTTTGAAACTATACGTATTTTTGGTTTACCAAAATTTGCAGATTTCCGTGTTGTTTTATTCCATTTATTTTGTCTGAGATTTTATTCTTTGGAATTTTATTTCCAGGTGGAGCTGTGTCCGTAAGCGTTTTTGCTTTTCCGCTTTTGGCGATGGCTTCTATCTTCTTGGCGACAGAATCTTGTTAGATGTTTCTAATATCAAAATATTTCAGTTTTGGTTAGCTTCGATTAATGTCAGTTTTCAATAGATGCTTGGGACATTTGTCTGTTGTGGATTTGCAGATCAACCACATGTCTCAATTTTTTATAGGCTCTAGTAAGCTTCCACTTGCTTGGGTTCTGAAAGTGTCAGAAGTGAGTTGTTATAGGTCACAATTTTTGAAAAGTTTTTCAAGATTTATGCAATTTTAAGTTATATATGTCACAATTCTTTTAACATGTCTCGAATGCAATTTTAAGTTATAATTTAATTTTTTATTAAATATGTAAAAAAAGATGATAAAATTTGATGTAAAGGGAAAAGATGCAAAGGGTTTTAGGCAGCTGCTCTGTTGAATTAGATGTTACATTATTACATTGGTAATTTTGGATTAGTAATAACACTGGAGATAATTTCTACGAAAATGATTTATATCGCATGAGACAGTGAAGAGAAAAAGAAATATGAATGTAATAAAAGAATGATATATGATATATTCGGTACAAAAGAATTATATTCCAGAAATTAAAAGAACGTGACCACCAAAGTCATGGCAAACACTCCGAGAGTTGAGGTTAGAAGAGCAACTTGCAAGTTTGTAGCAGTACTAGTAGGAGCAACAGCTGGAGCCTCAAACTCCGCCGGAGAAGGTGCCGGAGAAATTGCACGGAATGTGTGCTTTGGAGAAATAACAACCACAACCAACTTTTGGCCCTTCTCACAGTGCCCCTTTGCTCCACTGATGAAGTAGAATGGCCCAGGACGTTCTAGCATCACCTTAGTATTCCCATCACTGTACTCTTTGATTGGGTTGGAGGTGCTGCAATTACCATATTCCTCCCTTGTTACTTCCAACACTGAGTCCTTCCCACTTTCGAATTTCCACACTGCCGAATAAGCATACAAATGTGTTACTTACGAATGGAAGGGAATGATAATAGTAACAAAAAGGGTAAAATTTTCAGCACTTGCAATACATGTTAACCTTTATATTAAAAAAAACTGTGAAATTGATACATCGTTGTTCAACTTAAGGACACTAAGATGAGGAACTAAATCATAATGACCAAAATCATCAAATTCAAGTGAAGATCAATTTTAACCAAATTGAAGACCTACAACACATCTTATCTAAAAGGTTGTGTTTATGGGAAGTTACCCAAATAGTCGCCAACTCTGAAACGAGACTTTTCAGCCCATTGATTGAGAGAATCTACTTCTGAAGATGGAATCTTCCAAGCATCAATCTTGCCTCCAACTAATAGTTCCTTAGCTGCTGAGAATCCAAGGAGAAGGAAAAAGAACAAAAGGGATGCAGAGACGGCTCTTGAGGAACTAGCCATGGTCTTTTCCTATTTGAGAACTGAAGAGAATGTATTGAAGATTTTACCTTTCTTACTCTCAGAAGCACGAAGTAGGGGTATGTAGTAGTGAGAGGAGTGTTGTATTTAAGGTGATGAAGAGGAGAGAAACTAGCCGTTGAGTGTTAGAAGATAGCATAGCAGAGCATGTGGGGGCCACTGTACTGAGTCTTCTGTTACTATGTGGGCCTTTTTAACGGTTAAAACAACGGTAAAGAAAACTCATTAATGAGCGATGATTCTGGAACCTGGACTGCATTCTCAGCATTGACGCTGTCACTTAATTGCTTCCAATTTTAACAGAAAATTAGAGTAATGATATATAACTGACATTTTATTTCTCTCTACTTTTTTTTGCCAGTTTTAGTACATTCTTAATTTTTTTTTTCTCTTCCATGTTTACTGACTCATGGGAGTCTATAGAAATATGGGTGTCTATAAATCATTTTCGTAGAAACTTGGCTATTAAATAAGTCGGGGTCAGAGACATTTATTACAAACCCAAAATTATTAATGTGATGTATCATCTATTCACCCTATTTTGCACCTTTTACATGTATTAAAAATATAAAATAATATCATAATTAAGAATTTTTATGATGCATTTATAATAGAATTAGGCGGAAGCAAGTGCTTAAAGCTCATTTATGACTTAATTTGGTTTTAATGAAAAAACCTTATATAATTTGTCGACTATATATCAATGAATTTTAAAACTATTTTAATACCACCAAACTTTTTCCTTAAAAAAATCATGGTTTAATAGCCAATTTAGTCCCTACTTTGGTTGAAAAATCTCAATTTAGTCCCTCGTTATAAAAGTGTTTTACATTAGTCCTAACTTTTAAAATAGTGGGTCAGATTGGTCTCTTTCGTTAAATATAAGTTAACGAAATTAATGGATGATGATGTGACACAGCTTAAAGCTGATGTGTTAGATTGGTCCCTCGTTAGCTTTAAGTTGTGTCACATCATCATCCATTAATTTTGTTAACTTATATTTAACATAAAGGACCAATCTGACCCACTATTTTAAAAGTTAGGACTAATTCAAAACACTTTTATAACGAGGGACTAAATTGAGATTTTTCAACCAAAGTGAGGACTAAATTGGCTATTAAACCAAAAATCATATGTTCAAAAAAAGCATTTTTCTAAAAGTGATGTTATTACCCAAAAATAGAAAAGTTGAATATTTCACTTCTATTGTGATAACTGCTCTAGTAATATAATAACATCTGCCCCATAAGACTGACAAGACGGTCTAACCAAACTAAAACCTTCTGTATTCAGACGACAATCCTAATTTGACAAAGGCAATTAAAATATACTGAAACAAAAAAATCACCGTCGACACAGTTCAAAATTGTATATAAAATAGGTTACATCTGAACATGCTAGTATCTGAATATCAAAATCCTTACACAAACTTTCTTCATTCTTTAAGAAGTATAGTAGATTGGTCCAAACCGCTGACTGCTATATCTAATCAATTTTGACGGAGGAGTAGATGAGCCTAGTGAACCAAAAGCATGCATAAAATCCGATTGTACCGGTCACCACAAAAAATGCATAAGAAGCTATGAGCATGTACCCAAAGTAAAATATCGCAGATACCAACTTTGTGATTTCAAGCTTGGTGAAGAAGTAGAAAGTTGCGTAAAGAAAGAGGTAAAGAGCAGAGGAACCAGAGGTAAGATATGACCGCCACCACCACAAGTAATCCTCACTGCACAACTGGAAGTAGCAGAGCACAATGGTTATTTCCGCACAAGTCACGATGAGGATGATGAAGACCAAAAAGAGGAATCCGAAGATGTAGTAAAACTGATTCAACCAGATTGATGTGAGGATGAAGAAAAGCTCAATGAAAACAGCTCCGAACGGGAGTATTCCACCAATCAAAACTGAGAAAACTGGGTTCATGTACCAAGCCTGCTCAGGGATCTGCCTAGGGATCTTGTTCGTTTTCACAGGATTCTCAATCGCAGGCTTCTTGAATCCGACATAGCTACCCACAAAAACAAGCGGAACCGAGATTCCAAACCATAAAAAGATCAGAGCAAACATTGTACCAAATGGCACAGCTCCAGATGATTTTTGGCCCCATATGAGAGCATTTAGAACAAAGAAAATGGCAGAGACAATGGCAGGGAACATGGTTGCAGTTCTGAGGGCAACTTTTTTCCACTCCGATCCTTTGAACATTTTGTACAGACGAGTTGATGCGTAACCGGCAAATATTCCCATGAAAACCCAAAGCAAGAGCATGGCTGTCATCAGCCCACCTCGGTTTGAAGGTGAAAGGAATCCAAGGACAGCAAACATCATAGTTACCAGCATCATGCCAAAAAACTGAACACCAGTTCCAACATAAACACACAGCAAATCTGAGTTAGTAGGAGGCCTAAACACATCACCGTGGACAAGCTTCCAACCAGTCTCCTCCTGGGCTTCTTCTTGGGTCTCAAGCTCGTTATATTTCGCAATGTCACGGTATAGTGTACGCAGCATTATCATTGCCACCATCCCCGAAAGAAAGAGAACAATCATTAATGAGTTAACAATTGAGAACCAGTGGATTTGATCATCATTCATTAGCAAATAGGCATCCCATCTTGATGCCCACTTCACATCACTCTCCTGTAGATGCCAGCCAAAGTTAATAGCAGATAATAAGAAATACAGCCCACAATCACATTTCATCATATATAATAACAAAGGGAGGATTTTAAAGAAGAATTCAACTAGAAGGACGAAGATTTATCACGATATGAAAAAATAATAAACATGCCAATTGGTGAAAGGGGATTTTAAACATTTCATTTTATCTCCCTAGCCACAAACTAGCTTCTCCGCTCTAACCATATGCCCTAACTTCTTGGCTCATGCCAATTACCACATTATACCATGAAGTAAACATTTAAAAATTTATCATCTCCCACAACTCACCTGGAATTCAACATCATAGGTGAAGATAATTTCCTTGCCCTCTTCAACCTCTTGGGGAGAGTTGGAGTTGACAACTGTGCTTTTAGCATGAGGGTCACAGGTTGTTAAACGAGTTGTTTTTCCTTCCCATTTACCTTCGTATTCATGTTTAGCACTGCAGATCAACACCCAGTTAAGAAAAGTCGCTACTAAATACCAGAACAAGATGAACCAATCAAAAGGAAACAGCACAAAAAGAATGACCTGAATGGCTTAACCTCAAAGCCCACTATTCTAGCAGATTCAGTTAGGACGTCTTTATGGTACTTGACAGTAAATGCTAAATGGTTGTGAATAAAATACTTCTCCTCCTTGCTCTGCACATTTAGAAAAAATTAGAAAAAATGCTAATTGGCATTCTAAACAATAGTCAAAGTGCTATTTAAATAGTGAACATACCCCACTGTACTGCCCTTTGAGTCCAACATGGAAACCCAGCTGATAAACAGTAGAATCCTGATCATTTCGTTTCAAGGGAACAACTAGGGGAAGGTTATCAAGAATCCTGTGCATGAAAGGCAGAGCTACCATAAGAAACAAACATATCACAATTGTAGTAGAATACTTGCTGAAAATAATAAAACAATTTATTGGCATATCATACATGTTCACCCTATACTCGTCACTGATCTTCTCTTTGAACTCCTTGGTAGTTTTGGCATCAAGTTTAAGATTACACACAATATTGCACATTTGTGGCTCGCGCATTTTAAACTGCAAAATATCAATGGGTCAGACAACAGTTCATAACCATAACAAAATTAAGAGAACTCGTGAAAGTTTAAAAAAGAAAAAAAAAAATCAGCTTGGGAATGAATAACCGGTTAACCACTCACATAGTCAAAAAATGGTTACTCATAACAGATAATTGAACATGGGTCAGAAAATTCAGTATTTAATTACTTAATTGTTCCTAAATTGAAACATATCACCAAGAATTCATTTATTGTCACTGTCATAATAATTAAACTGTCGAGATTAAACTAGTAAAACTCACCGCATAAAGAGAATTTTCAATGCGGTCACCACGAAGCACTTCTCCAAGATTTTCTGCACTGTCCTGTATTTTTTCTGGGCCGCAATAAGGAAGTGAATAATATGAATATGGAAGCTGGGTCTTTGTTGACGTTAATTTATTTACTTTCACTTGCAATTGGTCTCCCTGCAGCAAATAAAGATGTAACAAATCATTTAAGGCCTTGAGAGGCAGATTGATAATGAATTCTAAATACTCCTCATCTTGTCCACCTTACAAGCAAGACAGAAAGCTCATTACAGGCAATTCTTTAAAAGGGGGGATACACGACAGCAGTCAAATAAACTTTTCCATCCTTTATAAGTACTATTATAGTTGGTAATAAGATAACAAAGTGATAATAAGAAAGAACTTCAACTATGCAAAACAATCTCATGACATATCCTTTGTAATTAAAAACAACTGAAATCCTCAAATAAAACTGGAAGGAGGGTAGGCCTAGAGGTAAAAGCATATTTCATACATAAGAAACAATTAGTATTATTTTCCTGAAGTCTAACCGTTAACATCAAGTAGTATCACTGCCCAATATCGGAAAATAAATTTCTCAATACAAAGAGGTGCACGGAAGCAAAAGGTAGGTACTGCATCAATTCACACCCACAAAGAAATCCTATCCTCCAAAATCCTTTAAAGTTCCACATACAATAAAACCAACATCCATCTCTAATTAGCTGTGGAAAACTAAAACAGAGATAGTAAGCTTGATGTATCAACGAAAACAAACGTAGCAATTATAACCAAATTGCAACGGATAAACCGCAAGTAATAGAAATCAGACCTTTAATCTAGCAATAGATACACAAACACTAAAAATAAAGGTTCAAAGTTAAGAAATGAAAGCCCTTCATTGAAGCGAACTAAAACTTGACATTCCATATTACTTACCACACACTTCCAGCTCCTGTTTCGAGTTTCAACAAAAAAGTGTAACAATTTCATGAAAAAAACCTAATATCGATCACAATATTAACCCAATAAAACTCAGATCTCGCTTTTCGAGATTCAAACACGGATCGAAAAGCGAGAAAATAACCGATAGATGTGTTGGGGGGATATCAAAGGTTACCTTCTGGAAGTCCTGTGGTGCGACGCCGGGGAGATAGAAGCAGTGAGAGGCATGGATCAGAAGCAGAAGAACCGCAGAGAAGGCGAGAGATCTCCAAAACGCCATGGCGTTCGA